CAGAGTTTCATGAACCCAACACGCTGCCGGCGCCACATCACCTACTGCCCTGCTGTACTTTTTCGCCACCCATTGCCGTGATAGCCGATTGTCCTGTTCAGCGCAGAGGAAGGGATAGGAAACAGGGAAGTTGTAGCCGGCCGAGCATCCGATACAGCCACCGGACACCGGCGACCTATCGCGCCCCTGCCCCGCTCCACACCTAGTCCCGAGGTTTTGACGTAATGAATAGAGGAGCATTGTCAACCGCGTAGTTCTAGCCTGGCCGCCGTCCGCGACTCATCGAACGCTACGATGGGAGTCCGTTTCCGCTGGACGAGCACCAGGAGCAAGCTCTGCTTCGTGGCGCTGTGGTTCCACTACTCCAAGGAGGCGTACCACCGCGGAGTGGTCTGCGCCGCCTGCGAGCAGTGGGGCCGTCACCAGGGGTGGGACCTGTACAAACTTGCATTCCATCTGCCGGCCGAGGATGCCTCTCGCTACGAGCGCTGGGAGGACATTTACAAGACCTGTGTTGGCTGAGGTCGCAACCCCGACTGCGACCGAAAGCTGGGCTGGGTCCAGGAGTGCCCATGTGGCAAGCGAGTCGTCGACGACCGCAACTGGGACTGGTCCAGACCCAACGACGGACCTCTGGACGGCCCTTACCTTTCCACTTACCCGCCCAGGTCAGCCGTGCCAGCCTGAGTACCATGTCAATACTGGTTTGATTCCCCTTTCCCGTCGAAGCTTCCACGCGACCCACTCTCCTAATCTTCCCGGTGAGCGCCCCACCACGGAGTGATGCTGCCGCGGTGCTTTCACCTGGCTCCTCTCCCTCCACACCTGGCCGCGGGGACAACCTCGCTGCGCTGCCGCCCTCCCAAGCCGCAGCCGCACCGCTTGCTGCGCGGCGATACCCCACGTCGCAGCGCTGCACTGTTGCGGGCGCCGCAGCCAGAACGCGCCACGCCTCCACTTTGGGCGGGCCGGTTCTTTTCCGGGACCGGGAGTAGTGTTGTATTATGCACCTGTGAGATGACGTCACACCTTTACGCTCCCCCTTTGGGTTGACAGTCCTGTTTATTGGTGATCGGTTGCTATCAGACTGGGGGCTGTTGCCAGAAAGTTCAGTCTTGAATAAACGGCTCCATAGTTTGGACGTGTCTCTTTTCCTCGCTTTTGTTATACCAGTGCAAAATATAACATTGGTGGCAATTATAGTGACGGCGTCGACGCGCTGGTGCAGGGGCAGCAGGAACGAGCGTTTGAGGCTTTATCCAGTCCTTGACTTATCTTGGTCATGTACTGGACAATCTTTGACGTTTTCGATACTTTGTTTTTGACAGTGTGATGAACAGTTGACGTTATTAGGATTAGTTGTTCTGGGCAAGCATTGGTCCATCTAGGTTGGGTTAGGTTTCATTCAAAATTTAACCTGTGTTTGACATTTTGCTATAGTGTCTTCGACAACGTGTTCAACAGACACGACTATAACGCAGCAATAGCGTATCCTG